CATCTGTTTCCCTCCCCAGCTCTGGCAGCTCTAAGTCCACATCTCTCTTTTTCTGAGGCTTTATGATTTAGGAAATAGACTAGATTAAAACAGAATACTTGAACCAGAGAGACATCTCAACAGACTAAAGCATCTGCTCAGCCAAGCTTAGGCAAGTGCAAGGACCACTGTTTGATCCCCAGTACCATGTCCCACCAGCCCTGCCCCTAGGGTGTGCTGAGCTGGCCAGAATCTGGGCATGGTAGTGCATGCCTATAATCCCATAGCTGGGGAGGTTGAAAGCAGGAAAACCACCATGAGTCTAAGCTGCATAGTGAGATCCAGCAATATATATATATATATATATATATATATATCAGAATAGCCTTTATATTGAAGTGGATGCCACTTAAAGATATACTCATAAGTGAAATAAACCAGACACACATGTGTAAATATTGTATAGTTTCCCTAGCATAAGAACTCAAAAGAAGAAGTACAAATAGAAAGGTATAATACAACTAAAAGGAAAGCAAGAATTTGAGGACTAGACAATGAAAAGAGAGCAAGGAGAAGAGCTAGGAAACATGACAAGGGCAAGCCATACTGTTATATGTAGAAGATGGGTAAGGCAATGATCCTGAGAATCTTCAGATTTTTGAATCTTTCAGTTAATTGGAAAGATTCTCACCCTGACTAACTATATATACAGACACCTGTGAACTAAGCAACTGCACTGAAGGTGGCAATTTGTAATAGTAGGTTCATGCTTGCAGTGCCTGTCATTCTGGTCTTCTGAATACGGGCTGCTTGTCATGACATGCCAGTTGCTGTCGTGCTGTCTCTAGGGTAGATGACTGTTCAAAAAGTAGGGGATGGTGAATGAAGGCAGGAGACAGGAAAAGGAATGTTGTGGGACTGTCCTGCTTCAAGGTTGTATATAGTTAGATTTCTGAATTATATAACTCTTTATGACTATTTTTAAGATATATTTTAGTTTTTTAAAATGTTTTTTCATCATATTCTATAGGGACTTAAAGTTCAGCATATCAACACTTGATGAAAAATACCTGTTCCATGTTATGCCTAAGATGTTTGATATTCAGACAGATAGTGAGGTTAAACTTAACAGCCTAGGTTGTATGGTAATAGCAATAAGCTTGTCTTCTGGATGGTTAACAACCATCCAGAAATGGAATAAGTGCTTCCCTGGCAAGCGCAAGGGCCTGAGTTCAATCCCCGGTTCCACCAAAAATCCAAAATTGATTTGTAGGACAGTTTCAATAATTAATACATTGCATATTGTTGTCTTCAGAGTGGTTATTCATAGTACAAGATGCAAACATGACATCCTGTCCAATCACTATGAGTGCAAATCTTTCTTCTCATTGAATTAAGAGAAAGTAGTTGTATATCTATCCTAACTATTTTGTATATACAGATACAAACTGGTCCTTCTTTGTATCCCTTTTTTTGTTTAGTTTTATCAGAGATGGGTATTCTATTGCCATTTAAATATAGTAGGTGCGTGAATTCAGCAAAATAATCCAATATAATCCAGTAGTCCATAATAGTAGTGGGTTATCCATAGGACTTACAATGTCAGAAGTTGTTGACTTGAGCCTTTTACAGCTTGGCATATTAATATGGCTTTACTTTTTATGTTTTGCTTTAAAAACTATTTTTTTGTATTCTCTTTAAAAATAGAAAACAACCCAGTGACTCTTTCCTTTTTAATAAGTTCATTCCTTTTTCCTGGCAGTAAGGGAAAGAGTTATACCTATGTATGTAAGCAGGGTGGTTTGGATAACTGTATTGTGCATTTCTGCTGGTCTGTGGAAAAGGGGAAGATAGTGCTTAATTTGCTTTGTTTTGTTTTTTCAACTGTTTGTACTTTCTCTCTTTTTAATTTTTTATATGTTTCTTTATTTTTTCTATCTTCCAATTTTGCATGTATATATCTGGTAACATGAATAGCTGATTGGAACACAACCCTATGCATTACAAGAAACACTGTGGAATTCGTATTACTATGTTAAATGAAATTTTGCATCACTTATAATTCTTTCTGTTTTAATACCATGTTGTATCCTCTTTGAAAGTAAAAAAAATAATAAAACAAAAAAAGAAATCTTTCACTTATCTGTTTAGCTTAACTCTTAAGCATTTGATTTTTTCTGAAGCGATTGCTAGTGGGATTGTTTTTCTGATTTCTTCAATAGGTTCATACTTGATGTATAGGAATACTATTGAAATTTTGTGCATATTTTGGATCCCATCACCTTGCTGAATTTGTTTATTAGTTCTAAGAGTCTCTTTCTGGAGTGTTTTTGGATCTTCTATGTAAACAGTAATGTCTTTTTTTTTTTTTTTTCGGAACCGGGGATTGAACTCAGGCCCTTGTGCTTGCCCGGGAAGTGCTTATTGTACGGCCCTGGTAATGCCATCTTACCAAAGGTGTTTGATGTCTACCTTTCCTATATGAATCTCATCGATTTGCTTTTCTTGCTTGATGTCTGTAGCTAATTTTTTTAAATACTATAGTGAACAGGAGTCTTGTTGTTCCAGATTTTTTTTTCTTTTCAAAGTTTTATTGATAAGCATATAGCAATGAGACAGTTTCAAATCAAATCGAAAGTATAGTTTCAACAAATAATACACTGCATATATTCTTCTTAGTGGTTAATTGCTGTACAAGATGCAGACTTGTGATCCTACTTACAAACACCATTAGAAAAAATCATTCTATTCATTAAGAGAATGCAACTATATATCTATCCCAACCACTTTGAATACACAGATACAAAATGGACATTCATAGTTATACCCCAATTTTTTTTTAAGTTCCGTTGTTGAATATTATAGGTGTGTAAACTCAGCAAAATTTTAGAATATTTTGCTGAGTGTTCCAGATTTTTGAGGTAGTGCTTTCAATTTTTTTTATATTGACTAGGCTCATAGTGGCTTTCATTAATTTAAGGTAAGATTTTTCATGCCAATTTTTAATAGAGATTTTTTCAATATTATGAATGGATGTTGTATTTTATCAAAGGATTTTCTTCATCTATTGATATTGTTGCATGATTTTATCCTTGCTTCTATTTATGTGGTAAATTACATTTATTTATTTATGTACTCTGAAACATTCTTGCATACATGGGATGGTGGTGATCTTTATTGGTGATAATATGTTATCTTCTTATTGATTCATTATAATCTTTTCACAAGTATCTTGTTGAAGATTTTTATATTTACGTTCATGTAAAGGGAAATTAGTCGGTAGATTAGTTTTTTTTTTTAAAAAGTCGTTTGGCTTTGATACCAGAATAATGTTAACTTCAAGGAGTGAGATTGACAGTCTTCCTTCCCTTTCAATTTCATGAAAGGGTTGGAGGGGCACTGTCATTAATTCAGGTGAAATTCGATAGTGAGTCAGTTGGATCCTGAGCTTTTCTTATTTCATAAGTTTTTATTACTGCCTAAACTTCATTGCCTACTTTTGAATTGCTCGGGTTTTGTTTCTTATTGATTTGGTTTTGGTAATTCACATATCTAGGAATCTATTTCTTCTAGATTCTTCAATTTCCTAGAATACAGAGTTTCACACTGTTTGCTTATAATCCTCTGGATTTTTGTGATTATACTTTTTTTCATTTCTGATTGCTTTGACATGGGGTTTTTCTTTCCCTTATTTGCTAAGGTTGGTGAAGAGTTTATTTTTATATTTTCAGAGAACCAGTGCTTTGACTCATTGATCAAATAATATATTTTAAGGTTCAAATACTATATTTTTGCCCCTAATCAGCCATGATAGATCCTGTTAACCTTACCAACTTCGCCTTCTGAGTACTAACTTAGGATATCTCTGCTCTCAATTTTTCATGTAATTTCAGCTGGGGCTTATGCTCCTATCAGTGCTTACAAAATGGTGGTCAAGGAATCTTTTAGGCATGAATCACATGTGAGGCTTGCTGGCCTTTGAAATTCACAAATCTAGTTTTGGACCATAGCCTTGGCCCTTGGGTCTCTATGTTAAAGATGACTTGTGTGTGATACTCATCTGCCTTAAAGCTTGAGTACCTCCACCATAGGAAAATGATGTCTGATTACACCCAAATATCATAGACTCTTCAAGGATGACTTGATAAATATAGATATGTATTTGGCAGACACTTGTCACTATTTCTTCATCAATACCATTCCTCATTTTTGTGTTTCCCAAGCATAACACAAGGTACACTAGGCAAGAATTTAAAAAAAAGTAGCAATGGCAAATACACCAGAATAAATAATAAGACATTCAATTCCTGTTACTTTGACAAATGAATAGAAGCAAAAGACCCTATCAATGCACAGGTGAGATGGACAAGTTCAAGGACTCTTTCATAATTCTCAGAGCTAAAGCTATCAGACTCACATCAGGTTTCAGGGCATACTTAGACTATAAGAACTGCTGAAATAAGGATGATGGCAACAACAACCACACAACAACAACAACAACAACAGACACTGAAAAGTGTGTACTAAAATTGCAGTGCATGTCATTCTTTGAAACAGAAATAAGATCTGGCCTTTATTTTGTTGTTTGCAATAAAGAGACTCGTAAGAAGCTCTCAATTTAAAGCGTAATAAACTATTTTTAGAAAACAAATTTGTAACAACTTCCAAACTACACAGAATTCATGTTGTATCTTTTCTTGTACGGTATGTGTGGTATGTGTTTTTGAGATGACATCTCTTTCCGTAGCTCAGACTCACCTTGAAGTTGCACCTATCCTCTTGTGTCAGCCCCCTAGAGTACTGGGGTTACAGCAATCACCACCAAAGCTGGCCCTGTTGATTCTTCCTGAAGTCAGTTGGCCCCAAATTCTATTTCTACAAATTAATAATTGCTTGTCTAACAGGGTCTGTGCTAGACCATGATCATTGTTCTTCTGTCTAAGGCCTCAGATTTGTTTGGCATTCCAATCCTGAATAGATCACCTGGGAATGTGTTTGCATTGGCAGTGTTTCTCTTATAGGTGGGACAGCCACAAGACAGAGAGGCTTTTTGGGCTGCATCCGGTCACTGCAATTGAATGGGGTAGCACTGGATCTGGAAGAAAGAGCCACAGTGACTCCCGGAGTACAGCCGGGTTGTCGAGGCCATTGTGGCAGCTATGGGAAGCTGTGTCGCCATGGGGGGAAGTGCAGAGAAAAACCCAGCGGATTCTTCTGTGACTGCTCTTCCTCTGCCTATGTCGGGCCATTCTGCTCAGATGGTAAGTGCAGTGTGAGCCTCTTTCACAGGAAAGCTCATCTATTATGAATAGAACACCTGGCTGTTCTTTCTGTGTAGCTATCTGAAACAAAAACACTTCCGTTTCATTTCCCAACTTCTTTTGCAAAGCACCTATTGAATGTCAATCATATTTCATTCCTTAGATATTTGACTCAGTTCTTGAAACTCAAGCATCTCTGGCTGATACGTCTGCAGATAGTCACCTCTAGGTGTTTTCAAGTGTGAGCTTCTCAATTTGGTTTATTTTTTTTCTGTCTGATGCTCATGCTCTTAGAGAATACAACTGCCAGCAATCTGCCCCACTGGCAGTTCTCTGTTTTAAAACTATTCGAGGATGTATTGTTATTTTTGATGAAAATGTTCGGCAATGGAAGGGAATATAGAAAGCCTTAGGTTTGTTTGTCAAACAAATGTTTTCTATTAAATATTAATGGGTAACAAAATGGAGATACTCAGATATTTGGTCCTATGATAGGATGAGTGTCTGCTGGGGAACTGAAAGAACAGAGTGTTTTATAGAGTTGTATTCATTGATCTGTGTCACAGAAGGAAAGAATCAAGTGTAGTAGGAAGTGTTCAGGACACAGTTCTCTAGATATCCAAATATTTGTTATCTTTTCATAATTTATCATAGAAAACTGACATCCAATTAATTTGAATTCAATTACTTTGTGGAAGTGTCTCTGGGCTCCTGAGCCTTTTCCTGAAGGGGTTTAACAAATTGGCTTCAAATCAAAGCAACTCCTGATTTGCAGAGAAAAACATCAGGATCAGTTAATGAAAACTTGGCAAAAATATACCTTTTAAGCCATCAGCTTTTATTAAGAAGAAGCTGTAATTTCAAAATTAACTTATGATAACAATCACATACTGCTGGTGCCATGCTAGAGCAGTTTTCATGTTTAATGGTGAAATTATGATCACTGCTTCTTCCTTAAGAACATGCCTTTGTTGTTAGACATAAATAATTTTCAATTTATCTTGCTGGGTGCCATTAGGAATGCTACTTGGCATGTTCATATTGCTTTGTGTATAAAAAGTGCATAACAGGTAATAAAAATAATAAAAATTTTACATTCCTTTTTATTTTATTGAAACATAGTAACATTTTTAAAATCTTGAAACAGGAGAGACATCAACGTGACCTAGTAAGTATCATCTAAAACACATACTCAACAACTAGTCCTTTTATTATCTTCATTTCCATAATATATATTTGAGTGTGTATGGTGTGAGTTTGAGAAATTAATCTCATATGGACAAAACTCTACACTTTTGGTAAATTATTTAAAATAGATTGCATACTTCCTTTTGTTGATCCCTGCTAAGCAAATGCCTTTCTGCCCCTCTCTGACAGTAATGTTAGATTTAGTCTTCTTTTTTTGTAGTATATATACAGTGAATTTTAGAAAATATTTAGACCAAAAAGAAAATTTTTGCTTCGTGATCCTGGGAAGGAAAAGTATTCTTTATGCTTCTTTCTTTCCTATTATAGGAAGACTAGTTTATCCTATGGATGAACTAATAGATGGGTATTAAAACTTAGATAAGAAAATGGATTTTCAAGGAGGTAAAGGACAAGAGCCTGGCTTATGTATGAACTCAATTAAGACAGCATTAAGCTTTCAATTGTAAAGTTATACTAATGAATTAATTATATGTCATTCTAACATAAAGCCATTTCAAGGGCCATTATGAAGGCTCTATTAATTTACCATGTTCTTCTGGTTTGAGGCTGTTTCTTCGATCTGTGGAATTTGTGATTTAAAAATATTAAGATGTCAATTAATGATAAAACTAAGGTCCTAGAGTTAAATTTTTTTCACATAAAATGTACATGTTATTTTAGAGATTTCTGCATATTTTGGATCTGGCTCATCAGTGATTTACAGTTTCCAAGAAAATTACTCCTTAAGCAAAAACTCCAGCTCCCGTGCTGCTTCATTTCATGGTGATGCAAAGCTGAGCAGAGAAATGATTACATTTAGCTTCCGAACAACAAGAACACCAAGCTTACTGCTTTATGTGAGCTCTTTCTACAAAGAATACCTTTCAGTTGTCATTGCCAAAAATGGTGAGTGATTTTCAGATGAGAGAGAGAGAGAGGGAGAGGGAGAGGGAGAGCGAGAGCGAGAGCGAGAGGGAGAGCGAGAGCGAGAGCGAGAGCGAGAGCGAGAGAGAGAGAGAGAGAGATTGAGAGAGAGAGAAAGACAGAGAGAATTGATTAGAACGTGAAGGCAGTAGTAATATGGATAGTTTTTGAGGTTCTACCTTTCAGACTACAAGGGGAAGAATGAATGTTCCTCTGTGTTCTATTCATTTCACTTCTTCAGTATTATTTCATAAATTTAATCTAAAAGGATTATTTAACATGATTGCAATTCTTGTGTTTCTTTTATCAATGTGGTAACTGTGAATAGGCAATGTGAATAATAGTGTGTTATATTTTATTATTACTAGGAGCTCTTTGTTATTTCAGGTGAATGTGAGTATTGATTTTGTGGCTCATCTTGAATTAAATATTTCATGTTCAATAAATATCTTCTACCAATCAAAGGAAAGAAGTATTTAGGGAGTGTTGATGAGCCCACATTATGCATAAGAAAGTATCCATGAAATGACTGTTGGTTCTAATATTAGACAGTGAAGTAGTCACGGGAAATGTTGGTATTCCTACAGAGGGTGGTGGCACCTGGATGGAGAAATATTTTAGCTGTAAAAATATTGCCATAATAACTGCTTACTGTTATTTTTCTTTGTTCTTTATTTGGCTTAAATTTGGAAATTTTACAAGTTAATATAATGTATAAGAAAAACAAACATATACATATGTGAATATATATATTTTAGCCAAATAAAACATGGTCCACAGACACTGGACATTGAAAAATAAAATATTATTGTTCAATCAAAATATTTATACTCATTATGCAGTTTGAGCTTGCAGCTCATTTATGTATTGGGACATTTTCTTTGTCAAATCATAAGGTGTCTCTTGAAACAAATTAACCAAAATCTCTGCAAGCAATTGGGAAATATTAATTCTAATGGTTAGTTTGGTTTAAAGCTATTCATTTCACCGTAATTTAATCTGAGGGTCTATGTCCATGACCACTTGCAAATATTTCTCATCTTTAGTAAAACTACATTTTCTACTAATATTTCCATTAGTTAATTGTCTTTTAGGAGTGTGAGATCTATATTTTAAAAATGCAAGATTATGGAAAGAGAATTTTATTGCATTTTTTCATAACAGTTTGCATTTTAGCAATACTTAGTCTTCTTTTTCTTTTTCTGAAGTTAAGACTAGTACAGAAATTTGCATGCATTTAATCTGAGGATTAATATGAAGGAATGAAAATTAAAGATTTGCAGAAAAGAGATGGCTTAGGAGCAATATGCTTGGTCTTGATGTTGAAAATATTGTAATTTCACATAGAAAGTGACATTTAGGAGCTATGCTTAGAGGGTACATCTAAAGGAATGTGAGCTTTCCTCTGGGAGCAAATAATAATAATAAAAGGACTCTAAGTTTTTATAAATAGTTTTCAAAACACGTTTACTAAAAACGTAATTTCTTTTCCTGCTTTAGGAAGTTTGCAAATAAGGTACAAGCTAAATAGATACCAAGAGCCTGATGTTATTAACTTTGATTTTAAAAACATGGCTGACGGGCAACTTCACCACGTAAAGATTAACCGAGAAGAAGGAGTGGTCGTTGTGGAGGTAATGTGGAAAACTGGCCAGAAGGTACTCTGGGACAGTGAATCCTCAGCGTGGAGCATTTATAGTAGAAATTTGATCGCGAGTAGAATAAGCAAAGACACATCTTAGTGGTATTTGACGATCAGTCATCAAATGTAGTTTTTTAAGCAGTGAGCTTCTGGCCGAGATATGATTACCTAGTCTCCTTCCTACTCAAGATGCCTGACCTTCCTTACCGGTTTTATTCTGCTCAGGGGGGAAGTGATGTCCCATGTGTCATCGTGCACTTCTGATGGGCCCAATTCCAGTCCAAGAAAACCCATCTACTTACAGGACGGGTGGAAATGCAACGATAATTCTAGAGCAGAAAATTATGATTGTGTTTTCAGAACAATTTTTTTAAAAGGGTGTGAGTCACAGCAGAAAAAGTGAAATTATTCACTCTCACAGCTTTTAAGGAAAAGCCCTGATGTATCATCTCTACGCAGAAGAAAATTTCCTAGCTGCATGACTCCTGTAAAAATACCAAGCTAAGTAAAATGCTGAGGCAGAAAATACCTCTTAAGTTTTGGTTGACTTCACCAATTTTGAATTTCTTAAGTAGCACAGGAAAATAAAAAGATATAAAGGGGTAACAGTTGGGGCAAGATGGTATCTGAGTATAGTGCAGAAAAGAATGCTTACTTTTTAAGACATCCAAGTCTTAAATTTATTTTTAAAAACACTTTAAGGCAATAGTACTAACAATTGCTTCTTTTATCCCTTTCTGTTTCATTCTTTTTTTTTTCTTTCTGTTCTTTCTTCAACAAAATGGCACCCTTTTGGATCTCATTCTGTAGATTGATGAGAATGTCAGGAGACAGGTATACCTGTCATCGGGGACGGAGTTCACTGCAGTCAAATCTCTGGTACTGGGCAGGATTTTAGGTAAGTGAAAGAAACAGCCTTTCTCCAAGTCATGACATGTAAGTTTAGGTCAGAAGAATCACATCCCATACACACACACACACACAGACACACACACACGCACATGCACACATGCATGCACACACACACATGCATGCAGTCTCCAATACTAGAGAAATCTCTCGCTTATTTAATTATGCCTTGAGTAATGATGAAGATAAGGCATGTTTCTATAATAATGAATCAATAAATAGTGACTTCTTATAAGATGATCAAGCATCCTTCTTTGACAGTAAAGTCGCTCTGGTCTCTGTCATGTGTCAGTCCAGCATAATGAAATACAACTTTGTTTTCACACTTCAGAAATATCAGATGAAGGTAGAAACACAAGGTCTGTATCAATCGACTGTCAAATGTACAGACATGAATCTCATGATACAACCAAGATAAAGTCTAAAAGAACTAGAAGGGAAAAGCATCTAGTTTTCTTCCAGAAAGAGACTATGTTTTAGTTTATGGCTTAAGTCCTATTTGTCTCACTGTATTGTTGTAGTTGACAGTTGTTATTGTTTGTACGCATTCTAAATGTATTATAACGGTGACTTATTTTCATCATTATTTTTGATTAGAACACTGAACTAGAAGCAGACTCTTGCCCTCTTACCTTTAACATATGGATGCATTTTTATACCAGGATTAACTGAAAATGAGGAAACAAATTTTGAAAGGGCTACTTTTAGTTATGGCTAAATTATAAGCTATTGATATTTCCTATTATTTGCCAATCAGGAATGGGGATGGATGCTCCTACTGACTGATTTTGTTCCTATTCTGAATCTTGACACTAACTTGGACTATTTTGTCCAAGATAGTGAATGGAATCTTGCAGTTTTGACCTTTTCAGCTATTTGCCCCTCAATTAATCATTCCTTGTGTTCCCTGTACATAGTCTCAGAAGCTTGAGAATGTTTGATTAAACCCATGGGTGAATGATCAAAATGTTGGCCTTCAAGAAGGTTAATAGCTAAGTTTATAAATATTTATAGGCATTCGTGTCATATGATGAGCACCCGAATGACGTGCTCTTGTTTTCCAAGCAGCAGAAATATCATGAGTCACAATATTCTTCCATGTGCCACGGTGGACGTAAAAAAAAAATCTACGCAGAATACTATGTAGTTATTTGGAAGCTTAATTGAAAAATTCCAAGTGTCTCGCTGTGTACTTACATAAACCCAACTTTTAAGGTTGGCATGTAGATTATTTGCTCTCAGGATGTGCACGTAGTCAGCACATTTGGCAGGAAGTGGTGACTCTACTTTATTCTGTATCTTCAACCTTGATTCAAATCCTGGCCCCTGATATCTAATTAGCAGATAATACTGTGTGCACGTCCAGGCTGTGCATGTGTGTACTAGTTCTAGACTAAATCTTAAATATATAGGCACGATGGCTAGGCTCTCAATTAAAGGGAGAAGTTGACATTGACTTCATGCATGCCATTGGGAAACATGTACTGCAGACCAGTACAGAAGTAAGGGCGCTGACCTCTATGAATGGGGTCTTTACGTTTGGACCTATGACTAATGTGCTTTTGGATGTCATTTTTTAAATAATGATATAGGATTTTATTTCATGTATAATGATGGGATAGCAAATGAAGCCAAAGGAAATTTTAAGAAAAATGAAATCCTGGCCTGTGTAGCAAAATGGATGGAACCGAAGGTCATTATATCAAGTGAAATAAGCCCAAATTAGAAAGACAAATACTGTGTGTTTGCTCTTGTTGTGGAAAGGTTTTGGGGGAGAGAGAGAGAGAGAGAGGGAGAGGTTGGATAATTGGTATCAAAATACAGCTAGTTAGGAGCAGCTGGAGTGTGGTGACTATAGTTTTCACTGGCTCGGTTTTTTTTTTTTTTTTTTTTTTTTGAATAATGAGAAGAGAGGACCTTAGACTCCAAATACAAAGAAATGATGATGAGATAGAAACACTGCCTCAGTTTGATCAGCTTACATATATTGAAATATCACACTGTATAACATCTGTACAATTATTGCATATTAACTCAAAAATTAAAAAAAATACTGGGGCACAAATATAAACAGATAAGCAACAACAACATAAAAATCATAGTCTATCATATTTGTGGGTTCACTCTCTGCTATATTTTCAGCCTAAGGGAGGTAGGGGGCAGAAAAAGAAAGCTCTCAAGAGACTCAGGGTGAAAGGAAGCTGAGAATAGGAGAGGGTGGAGCTTCTTCCCCTGCTGTAGACAGTCTGCTTGAAAATCTTTACAAAATATTAAGCTTTGCTCCCTGTTCTGTCTTCCAAGTGCTGACTTGCTCTTAACTTGTGTTGCTATTCATAGAAACATGGGCAAGTGGTAGCGTGGGAGAAACTCTCCCCGTCTCCGCATCACTAGATGCTATCAGTGTGTGGGTTTGTGAGCTGATACTACATTCCTGATACCAAGATGACATATTACGTGGATTCTTGGTGCAAGATATACCATAAGCTCTGGCACAAAGTAATGAAAAATGCCAATAAATGAAACAACCCCTGATCTTAAGAGCTTTCTTTTGTGAAGTTGTGAAATGAGGCACCTACCTAAAGTGTGTAAGACCGAAAACTCTAACTGTAATGTGTGATATTGGTAACAATCATATTGTTATCTTCAAATTTAATGACCATCACTGATGATAATATTTGTATCAGTAGAAATATGTTAGCCATATCATACTATAACTAAGAAACTGATTTGGATCACGGGAGGAGAAACGGATTAACTAAACAGAATGACATTTAATATATGTTTTCCTTTTTGCCAATGAAATGGGTTATTAGTATGGAATTAATGATGTTCATGTTTTTATTCAGGTTGTATATTATTCAAATGCATATCACTCATGTTGGAAAATAAGATTAAAGTCCATATAGAGCAATGAAGTCTATATTCTGAATCAATTCATTCTGCCTAAAGTATAAGTGATCATTCATTTAACATGTGTGTAACGTGTGGATCTTGATGCAGGACTAATTGCTTGTAATTCAAAAGAAGCTAATTATTTTTTGTGGTTCATGAATTCATTATAAACATCAGAGAGTCTATTACTATGTTATTATGTAATATATTCACTTATAGTAAGGAAAATCAATAAGATGGTTGAATAGAGGAGCTAATAATTTTTCAAAAATCATCACCCAATTTTGAATTGACCTGCTGTGTTAGCTGAGGTCATCTGTGACACAGCTGCCAAAGACTTTTAAGAAAGCACTTACATAAGAGAAAATGGGGAGTGAAAGGCCAAGGCTGGCTGGGTCGTGTAACTCCTCCCCAGGTGAAGAGGCAGGGAGAAAAGATCAGACAGAAGCACAGCAGACTACTCTGCTAAGATACACTTATGCAGTCTTCAGGGAACGCTTGGATCAATATCAGAGGTGTCCTCTTCTGCCCAGGAATAAGCCCCTCTCAGAGTGTCCTCTGGGATGCGCCACTCGCTGGGAGCAGCCCACGGGAAGCATAACCTTGCACAGGTAGAAAACCGATGTCAGAGCTGGCAGACGAGCACTTCTAGCTAGATCGCGCGTTGTTACAGCCTCGTGTTTATCAAAGGTGTTTCTCACTTTTGTGAGCCCATTTCATCTACTGATTGAACATTTACTTTGGGAATCCCCTTAAATGTATAGCGAATACTCCTAAGAAAGGTGAACAGTACCTCTGTCCCTACAGAGCTTATGGGTACTGGGGACTCATATCATTATATCATGGTCCTATGTATCTAATTCATTACAATGTACCCTGATGCTGCTTTTGATAAAATAGTCCCAAATTATCCTCCAAATTAAAATATATTAAGATATACTTCTTTTTAAAATATTACTTTAGAAACATCAACATGTGCATGTGCATACCTCTGTGTGTGTGTGTGTGTGTTGTAGTTTGCCTATATTTTTAATGAAAAGGCTTAAAAATTTGAACATCGGCCAAAAATCCAGAAATAATTAAAATGCCTGTTCTCTCTTGATTTTCTCCAGTACCATTTTCTTAAAATGAGGAAGACATTTGGTGATCATTTTGAGTCACTGTCACTGTTAAACATAAAAATAGTAGATATGAGCAAAATACATTAAAAATCAGTATCACCCTGAACCATGCTACCATACTGATCTCTAACTCCCTTGTATACTTAAAACATAGAGCAGCTCAGTAACTATGGGAACATTACTGTGCAGGTAGTTCAGAGCCATGGTGGGAAGAGCCAGGTTTCAGCCAAGCAGCTCACTTCTTATAACCTCACCATCAGTAGATTATATTATCTTTACTTTTCATCATTACTCAGAGAGTTAAACTCAGAGTCATATGCCAGGATAATGTTATAAATTGGAGTAGTCTTATAATTTATTTAAATAAAATCCTAGGGCCGGCCAAATAGCTCAGCAGATTAAAGCACCTGCTTAGGCAGAGGCAGGGACCAAGAGTTTAATCCCTGGACCTACCTTACCCACCCCGCCCCTGGGGCGCACTAAAACAGGGATTGAGACTGGACATGGTGATGCGCTCCTGTAATCCTAGCACTTGGGAAGCTGTAAACAGGCAGATCACTACAAGTCCAATCTGCACTGTGAGATCCTGTGCACCCTGTCCTAAATACAAAATAATAATAATAATAATAATAATAATAATAATAATAATAAAATCCTAGCAAGCATTTCACTTATGCTGAGCAGTAGCTTCTGCTTAGGGGATGTGGTGACTGATGGCAACCTTTCCTCTTCTCTGAGGCTGCAAAGCAAGAAGCACACCTCGATCATGCAGGGCAGATTTAGGCCAAATGCAAAGGAAATGCACACTCAGCAAGGAAAAGCGAGGATGGACGTCGATGTCCCCTGAAACCGCCAGTGTGCAGAAACCCTGTGTGCAAGACTTGCTCCGGCCCCTGGAGGTGAAGAGCAAGGTGACCGAGGCAAAATGCAGCCACTGGCCGTATGCATATGTCTTAGCATTTCCTAGGGTAGTGGA